GCATCCGGGTGATATATAATTCGGAGTCCCCAAGATGACAAATATAATACAAAATAAAAACCATGAAACAGGTTCGTTTGAAGAATTATGACGAAATAACGTGACGTTAGCAGTATTTTTTAGTACTTCAACTCGTTTGAGATATCCAGAACATTTGTTGCTTTCGATACTTTTTCCTGAGATAATTTTCAAGCGCCCTACGGAGTTCAGTGATTTGAATGCTGGGTAATATCCACTGGCGGCCATTATTTACCGGCGTACGTGAGGTCGTGTTTTGAGAATATATCAGAAAATTGAGTTGCACACTTTTTGAAAATGGTTGCGGCTTGGAGACAGGCGGGTATGAGGTAAATAACTGTAATATATCATACAACCTAAAACGACTATTTTTTTTAAATATTTTAGCTGTCGCAAATGCCGTATCATATAAATCGTGGGTCAGTTCAGGAGGGACTGTCCTTAGTTGTAAAAACAAGTCTACGTTTATTAATTTGTAATAGTTATTCGGCCGGTTTTTTGCCAACAAAATGTACACCATTCCATAAAAAGGGACCTTATGATCATCATTCGTCTTCCTTGCAAGCGTGTATCTGCCAGTATATTAGTGAACAATATTTAGAATTGATGAAAACGTGTGTTATTACGCCCTCTGGTGGTGATATCGCAGTGAGTGATTCTTGATAGCACTTGAAGTTTTCATGGCTGATTTGATTTCCCTGATATGGCACATTGCCATATGTTATGCTCTAGTAAAATGAGATGTATATGGAGCAAATTGATGCGCATTGTTTTGGACCAAACATATGACAAATTAAATGTTAATCTCATTTTGCTATACCAGGGTTCATTGTGGTGTTTGAGTTGGTAGCCAGATGATTGAATGTGAATATCATCATCTGACAATGTTGTGTATCGAGGGACATACTAGGGACTTCCATGCCCTTCAATGATTGCCTGAATTACCCGATTGCCCTTTTTTGGCTCTCAGAAGCTCAAACATTGCCTATTTTTTCTGTATTTCAGTTACATTCAATACTCTTCACTATGTGCAAGGTTGCTTAGGAGGGCATTAAAGCCAGATGCACAAGCAAAAGCTATGAAGAAAGAAGAAACTTTTTCAAAAGTTAATGTATGGAAGGATGGAAAACCTGAGAGTGAGTACAGCTTCCTTTTCCTGTGAAAATTGTGTAGATTTCCATTCCTGTAAACTCAACAACCCCATAGACTGCCAAACCCTCCAAAATCAGAACATTTCCATACCTGAGATCTTGCTAAGTTGGTGAGAACCATTGCCCCAAAGAATTGATAACTCTCTAAAGAATATCACACATTTTTGGTGTGACAATGAAAAATTGGTATCCAAACAGCACATTTTAACATATAAATATGATACAAAGAATATGAAATGAAATATCACCTTTTTTGTTTGATATGTGGACATTTTTTTTTTATTATAAAAGTCAGGTCCACCTTTGCACCATACAAGAACATCGCCTTTTATTTCCTATACTGCACCATACCTACCCGGTACATGTATATTTTCTTTTTTGGAAAATAAATGATGTCAGCATCTATAATATAAACAATGGCACTAATTAGCTCTCTGCTTGCTTGCAGGGCTTTTCTATAATCAAATATTTTTTTGAGATCTAACATTTGTGAATTTCGCTTTCATTCTCATTGTTCGATACCCACAGACACCAGTTTCATTGCTATTCACTGGTCTTCCACCCTCAGTAGATTTATATTGTGCATCATTTGCACTGCAAACAGCAGATATTCACAAATGTGATTTTCAACGTTGCTGTTTGTGTGGATAGAATTTTTTCATATTTCCATTTTGTTCCAACCACCTATTTTATCTGAGATTATACATTTCACTTTTCAAGTTACAAGACAAGTATATTCACATTTATTCAATAAAACAGTACATGTACAGTATCTAAAATAATGCCACTGCTCTATCTGCTCTATTATGTGAACAACCAGATTTCATTAAACATACTCAAATTATATATTTGTCCAATCAGTCGAATACACCTAAATAATTTGCATAATCTAAATAGTTTGCTACTGTACCCCTAACAGCGAGGGGGGCAGTAATTAATAATTGCTCCCATTCGATTACATCATCCTGTACACATGCTTATCTTAGCAGTTTCTTGCACTATACTTGTTTCTTATTATGTACAACTTTTTATATCTTTCAGAAAAAGACTAAGATTTGTTAAATGGTGTGCGTGTGTGTAAATTCATAATTTTTCTGATGTAGAACCTGTAGTGCTTTGAAGATTGGATAGGATTCAACACGTCAATTCTCTCTAATAGGCCGTTTTCTCCTTGCATTCTGCTCCAGTTGCCATTGAAATTAAGTCAATGTATTGTTAAAATGTGACTTTCACAATTATATATAAATAAAGGTGAAGTTTGTATTGACTTTTAAGCTTGTCGTCTTGCTATACCTAGATTCTAGTGACTTCCATGTATACTCACAGGAATTAATGTGTTGCCAGGAAATACCACACACTTTGTGGTTGGATGCCATTATTGAAATTTTTAATCAGATCTGCGAAGAACCCATAATATCTAATGTACCAAGTGTGAATGAAATCTGTCAATACACAACCAAGATTTTGCATAATTGCTCTATTTTCAGCACTAAAATGCCAGTCATTCAGCCATGCATGTGTACCACATGGTTTGCATTGCATACCATGCGTCAACACAACCCATGATGGGACTGAAGAAATAAAACCTAAACCAGACTTCTCCGCCCTCTTTGTCGTCTACCAGTGAAATATTCAGGCCACACAACCCCTTGCCATTGTAAACTGCAAGTTTGGAGTTAAATCCTCAACTATTTCAAAATAAGATGGCAAAGGGTGGCGTTTGAATCCACAACTTCATCCTCTAGCGATGACACTTTCTTGTGACAGATGTAAGTAATGCCATTTGCACTATTCATGTTTGGTGGTTCACACACCTATATAGTGATGACACAACTAAAGTGTTCATTTGAATTCCACTTTTTTGCACCATTTAAATCACAAACCCCTCATTGCGAGATGACTTGTATACCCCTTCAAAGCAAACAGTTACGAGGGACAAAAACAGAAGCATGTACAATTCTAACGTGTCGCCTCGTTTGACTTGTAATAGTGGCCACAACTGGTAATACCATCGGTAGCATCTCGTGAGGCGACACCTATCAGAAATGTACACTCAAAGCTGTTTTCTATTTTGTCATCGCTGCCTTTGTATGTGGGAAAAACACTTCAGTGTGCCCTGCTGTATCTTTATTACGTCGTAATAAAAACAATGTTAAATTCATCTTGGCTGCATAAATACTTTGCATTGGCTTCATTTGGAAAGCGAGTTTCAGATGTATTTTAACATTGAGTTAAAGAATAGTATTACAAGTTGTATTCATGATGGTAACAATTGTGTGCATTATCAGTAATATTAAAATTAGGAAGTTAGAAAGTGGATTTCATCCTCTAGTAAATTGCATTTTTTGCAGATTATCTTCCATTTCTATTTCAAGTTTATGACTTCAGAGTCCGAGTTGAGATTGATATAATCTTGTAAAAGACTGCACGTTCTGAGTTTGAACTCTGATCTGTTAATGTCATTGATCCATATGGGTGATAATGTTCTTTCAGTTCAACAAGGTCATTAATGAAGATATTGAAGGGCTGAGATGACAGCCTTGTTTTACTATTTGTCTGTCACCGAATTTAACATGCTCTCAAATATGTTGTAAACTCTTCTAGTAATTCCATCTCGCCAGACTGTCAATGAAGCAGCAATTAAGTTTTTGTGTTTTTTGATATTTTTAGTAACTTGAACGTAATCGCAGTCTTTTCCTCCCTCGTTCATGTCTGGTATCGATGAAAGCTTTCAGCAGGTGATGTGTTACTACATTGAACACTTTCATAATGAATACATTGCATGTCTTCCACTCATAACAAACACAATGTATTACATGGTTCATTATAGTAAACAATTCACTTGAACTAACTGTATACCCCCAAAAAAGTTTATGGGATTACAGAATACCAGCAAAAATGCAGCTTGTGTTCTTTTAATCTACACAAGTCAACAATGCTATCACACAAAAGAAAATCCTCCTCAACAGATTAACAACATATCAATCTCTCAAACAGTGTTTTATTGATGTACATGTATGACCACAGATAAATTTAGAACATTGCGATGCCTCCAACACTTATCAACATCACTTGATGTAAATAAATTAGGATAAAAATAACCATGATTGTCAAACTTTTTCACTACCAGAATTTCTCACCCCAATTATTCTGCACTTTTTTCTTGTATTCTTCAATCTTTCTGGAATTGAACCCTAATTTTGAGGTCAACAGAACAAATTTGAGTAAATTTTTAGTTTTTACTCAAAAAATTTGGCTATTTTTGTCCCAATTTTCTAAAAAAAATTGCAGACATAAACAAGACTATTTTGTGATTCTATGATGAAAAGAGGAAACTGGTGGTGAGAAGGCTAAACCTAGTCACAAGCAATTCTCAGTACCTCAAATGTGAACACTTGCGTCTATGGAACAATGTTTTGCACATTGCATCACAGAAAGGGTTGACACATTTGCATAAAACAAAGAACTGACTGGTGTTCTGATCAGGTATCAACTTCTCAGAGGCTGTCCATCATGTACACTCTGAAAATGAATTGCCATAATCTGAACTAATATATAAAAAAACATACTGATGCTGAATAAAAAAAAATCCTGCAAAAATAATTGTTTATGACTAAATAGTACCCAGTTTGAATTACCAACATTTTTGGTATGTTTTGGGATTTAATATATTGGTCAATCAATTTTCCCATACATTCTTATGAGTTGATGTGTTCCAGTTACATGTAAAAATAGATACAAGTTTGAATAGAGATGACACATTTAATATCAAAAAGATGTTGAAAAAACACAGAATGGCAGACATGACTACTACATACTTCTATGATGGCTGGGCTAATTACTCATTGCATTTTCATTTTGCTATTCTACACAAAATATCATGCACTGCGTGTGATTAGCAATGCAGAACACAAAATGCGACAACCCCAGAAATTTGAAAGTTACATGGTTACTGCTGAATCAAACAGACAAGCTACATTCAATGATGCCTTGGCTGACTTTTGGCATAATCACATTCTTGAAACAGTAGATACTGACAAATTGTAGAAGAACTTTACATAAATTTAACTGAAGCAATAGTTTCATAGTACATGTGAACAAACAAATTTAATAATATGGTCTTTTTAAAATTTATCTGGATGAGTGTTCATCTCTTCGATGAGCCTTTTCTCCACTAATGGTAGCAGCATCTGATCTGTTGGTAGATTATAACTGACAAATACTTGCTTTCTTGTCTTTTTAGCTGAAAAGTAAAATGAAATTTTAAATTTATAAATTTTTTAAATGAAATTCATGAAAGCATAAACATTTTTATGGAAATACAGTAGCCCCTTGCCAAGTCGCGCGTGTCAAGCAAAAAACGCAACTTACCAAAGTATCTTGTGAAAGAGGAGTTTGTATGAAAAAATAGCACATATACATACATACATGGATTTATTTATAGTATTTTTTTTTTTTTATTGAAACACGTCACAGCATCCATGTCCTTAGGATTCAACTCATTGCAGCGAGCTTTATAGAGTTTTAAGAAAGAGGGCCGGCCAAGAACTATGTAAAGTCGCGACTTCATACCTCATCCGGCAAAACACATAATTGTTTGGAGCCATCCACTACGCGTGACTTACTGAGGCACGACTTAGCGAGGAGTCACTGTATATACGGCTTTATTAACATCCAAAGAATACACTTTCACTAGCTTTATAGAAGCCATTTGGCAACAACCAATAATCACAAGTCTCTGCACAAGTTTTGCTTATACGCTTATAGAACGATGTGTAAAATCGATCATCAGTTTTCATTCAAATTAAAATATTGAACAGTGAATTGCTCAAAAATTAAACATTGTCTACCTCCATAACGTGTGTGCATGCCTTCATGTGATTCAATATGCAAAATTTGTTACCAGACCCTAGTACAACTTGTCCATAATTCATTTTTACTAGTCATACGACTTGTTCATGAGATTTATAGACAGTCCCACGGGCAATTTTAGGCAAATGAGAGAAAATGTACGCGTAACAAAAATACACAAAGAATAGACCATTTTGCATTCAGTGCAAAATCCCCAGCTTTCGAACGTAAAAACAGGACAAAATTATATTTTGGGTATTTTCATGCTTAATAATGTGCAATACACATTTGCTGATAGTATTTTGATGAAGTGAAGATATTTCAACAACATATTACACTTGGATGTTCAAACCACGTCATTCACAAATTACCAATCTCATTAAAATCTGATGTACCGGTAGGTACAGAATCAATTTATTTTTTTATTTTTATGTATATAGTTATTTTTGAATATTTTTTTCTGTTTTACTTCTGTTATTAATTGTTTTTTATATCAGTCATAGTCAAAGCAACATATAAACAAAAATTGGAGCCATTCTGGTATGTGCAACAAAAAAACAAATACGTACCTAGTTTTTGTGATAAAACTGTAGAGGGCGTATCAGAGGCTTCACCAAGTAAACTTGCACTTGAAGGTATTTGATCCTGTAACAGAAGAATTCAGAAATTTTGATTGATATAATGTTTAGACGGTGTTGATTAAAAGTGGCAATAGCTGTGACTTTTAAATATAACCACATAAAGATGAATAAATCGTACCAAAATATTGTTTTAGAGACGACTGAATGGGAAAGTTACCCAACATAAGGCTAATGTCACATAAAATATGATGTGAAAATTAAGAGTAGAGTAGAGTAGATGCCATTTCATCAAAATCGCTTATGCGATAGGGAAACATAGAATATTATTAAGCATGATGCACACTATCATGGTAAATAACACTCAAGATGGTGACTTATTCAACATTTCACCCTGGGGTCACAGTAAGTGGTCTTCTTGTACCATAATATTTTTCACAGGACAAAACAGAATTTCAATACATGGTGCCCTCTGGAGATCTAAACACAATCCCCAGCCATTTTTGTATTCACTTGCATGCAATTTATTGTACAGCGTTGTTATAAATAGCGTATATGCTATGCTTTCAAGTGTTCACAAATTGGTACGATTCACACAGGTAATTTTTCCATTGTCCCCTGGGAAGAGAAGAACACTTATTTTTCCTAACTAAACATTGAACAGCACACATTAAAAAAACAAGGGATTTGTTTTTCATATTTTCAAATTCATTTAATACTGCCCCCTAAATCTGTGAACACGTAGTGATATGTCATGTCATGTTATGAATGTATATGATGAATGCACGTAAATTAATGATACAAATTAATTTGCTTTCCAGCTGTTAAGGTGCTGTTTAGGTGTGCATATAAAGAACGCCCAATATCTTACTTCAATGTGGATTTGCAAAAACAAAGCAGCTTTTAACTTTCTCACCCAAATTTGTCTTCACTTTTTTGGAAATGAACCTTAATTTTAAAAGCCAATAGACAAAATTTAAGTAAATTTTTAGTTTTTACTCAAAAACAAATTTTTTGTTGTCTTCTGATCTTTGATGGAAAGTGCAGACTATTTTGTGAATTTCTGATAAAAAGATGGAACAGTCAGTGAAAAAGGTTAAAAGTCTCACTTAATAACCATCTGCATGCCAAAATTGTTGTGAAACATTTTGCTCATAATTTCATTGTTAATTTTGGACCAAAAAAGATGTAATTTGCAGTAAAATAGAACACAATAGAGTCAACAAAATTAGCATATGATAAATATATAACCAGCTTTGAGTGATACAAAACAGAAAATATCTTCTGATCACTCATGATTATAATATTGCATAATATTTAACTTTTTCATCACAAATTCACAACATATTCCTGTTGATAGTCTGCACTTTCCTTCAGAAGATTGGGACAACAAATAGCCAAATTTTTTGTGGAAAAGCTGAAAATTTACTCAGATTTTGTCTGTTAGCTCCAAAATTTAGGGCTTATTTCTAGAAATATTGAAATTATAAGAAAAAAGTGCAGAAACATTTGGGCGAGAAGTCTGGTGGTAAAAAGGTTAAATAAATATTGACGCCACTTGAAAACAATGCCATGAATCACCCACATCCTCATATTGGATGAGGAGTCTATTGGAAAATATTGTACAAGGCGAACCCAACCAAATTATCACATCGAGAACCTTCTTCCAATTCTATAAAACGCTGTGGGCAATTCATTATTGTCGGTATAATTCACAGCCATCAAAATTAAACAAATTTAGTCAAAGTTGGGTTTTTTGTTGAAATGAATTCACTTGTGAATAGAGGTTTACTTTGTGATAACTTATAGCTGTGACGTAGTAGAAACCTCTAATTCTGATAGCAGTGATTTAAAATCTGTATCTAGTATTTATTTTCTAA